ATCCATCCATCCATCCATCCTTCCTTCCTTCCACCCATCATTCCATCCATCCATCCACCCATCCTTTCTTCCTTCCTTCCATCCACCCATCCATCCATCATCCACATACACATTCATTCATTGATTATTTCCCGAGTGGTCATTTACCAACTGCCATGTTGACTCAGGTATATGGTGGCCAACAAACAGGTAAGACCGTACCTTTGTGGAGCTCCTGTGTTGCAGGAACAGGAGCAACCTAATCTACCATGACAAGCTGTGGTGAGAGAGATAGGGAAAATGAGCAGGAGGTTCTGGAGGGTGGCAGGGAGGAGGCCTTTTTGGCGAGTGGATATTAAGCCAGACCTGCAGTTGAGGAGTAAGAAGATGTTTCGAGGACAGGAGGTCTGAGCCTGTACTAAGATGCCGCTAGGTGCTTGGAGAGGCCAAAGTGAGTGGAGGGGCCCCGGAGAGATGAGGGGAACTGTGCTTCTCGGGAATGAAAGATGGAAGGAGTCGCCCCCCTCGGAGACTGCTTTGACCTCCTGTAACGGGTTGAATAGCATCGTTCCAAATTCATGTCCGCTGGAAGCTAAGAAGGCGGCCTTACTTGCAAATAGGGTCTTTGCAGGTGTAATCCAATTACGATGAGGCTACGCTGGCTTAGGATGGGCCTTAATCCAATGACTGGTGTTTTTATAAGAGGGAAATTAATTCAGACCCACCGAGGAGGCACATATAGGAGACGCTGTGTAAAGACAGAGGGAGCCTCCCCTAGCATCTTTGAAGGGAGTAGGGCCTTGCCGACACCTTGATTTTGGACTTCTGACCTCTAGGGTTACGAGAGAAGAGATTTCTAGTTTGTGGTATTTGTCACGGTGGCCCAAGACACCCCTGTCCACACCAGGCCCTCCTCTTTCGACCTATAGGTCTTTCTTGCTACTGTGTCTTTTGTTGCTTGCCCGGGACCCTCGCAGCAGCCCCCAGGCCACTGTTGACGTTCCTGTCCCCCGTCGCACCCGCAGCCTGACCCATGCCTCCTTGGGGGTCCCTGGCTTGGCACACACATTGACGCCTCATCGCCTCATTTGCTATAAATGTGTCCGCACCCCCAGCTTCCAGTTGTTTGAGAAAACCTGCCCCTCGGGGCCACCGCCCTCTGAACCCGTCCCCCGTCTTGCACCGTGAGCTCTACCCTCACTGCTTTGCCAGGACGGACCAAGTGGTGGAGTGTGATAAGGAATCTCCCTCCTTGTCTGTTAAAAGGAGAAGAAATCCTTGATCAGAGCAACTCACCCACTTGGGAGCTGAGATGTGGGTAGAATCCGGTTTTCCACTCAAAGGGAAACGATTTGTAAGGGGCCTGGAGGCCAAACACTCTCCGGGAAAGCGGGTGACAGAACAAATCACTTACCAGAAGATTCCAAGTGGATGTCTGTGAGGACATTCTGCCACTTGGTCGGGCCTTTCCCGGCCCAGGGACCAGTGTGACCCTCACGCCTGACCCCAGCCGGCCGCTACCAGCTCCCGTCTGGAGAACGGCCGTCTGGTCATTGTCACGGAGCTGCGACTTCCTCCGAGGTAGGAGCTTTGGTCCCAGGCAGGCACCTGATGCTCTGGGTGGACGTCTGGCCCCGCGGCCCCGTCTCTCAGGGCCCGGGTACTGTGGACACCCGGGAGGTGGGGAGCCCAGCGTGACCGGGTGGGAGGAAGCAGAACAAATGGGGTGACGCGGGGTTCCCGGGGGCGTCTCGGCAGCCTGGAGCGGGCGCTGGTGCGCTCGGACGCCCCGCGGGGGCCCGGCCGTGGCCCTGCCACCAAGGCGCCCGCGAGCCCGTGCTGCTACTGTTTTGAGCGCGACGTGCTTGACCTCGCGGCAGAAACGCTTCCATATATCACCCGCGTCACGCTCGATATTCCGGGATAGATGCCGATTTGGAAACCACTCCCCCAGACCCCAATACGCCGGGTGAAAGTTTCAATTTGGAAAAGAGGATTTTTTTTTTTTTTTTTTCGCCGCATGAGTCACTTTCCCAGAGCGCGGAGGGATGGCCCAGCGGCCCTTATCTGCGAGCTCCATGTACTTAACGCTTATTAAAATCAATACCGTCCATTAGCCGGCCACGTTTCCATTTTTAACCATCTATTGATATATGGCCTGTGCTTTTATAGGACTAAACAAATTTCCGCTCTCCGTGCCCCTTTGTAGCCTGGGGGCAGGCGGGTGCGCGCGGCCGCGGGACGTAAATGTTTATTTACTGCCTGCTTCCTGATTGAGAACATGCCTGGTCCACGGGCTTCAGATGGCTTTTACACGGGAGACTGACGGCCACTTCCTGTTTTCCAGACACAGCACACCGTTTTTAAGGGGCGTAATGAATGCGAGGTATTGTGGGCGTAATCGCCGGGCCGTGCCCAGCCCTATCTGGGAAGCGGTGCGCGATCGGCAGGGCTTATTATTTATTTATGCCTTCGCTCGTTTCTGGGGGGGACGGGGGTGGGGGGCGCTTGTCACAGCTGGGGCCGCGTCCGCTGCTCTGTCCCGGCTTCCACACGTCCCTGTCCTGAGGGCATCTGTCTGGGAAAGGGAGGGAGGACCCGGGTGACCTTGGGGAAGGTTCTCATACCCAGGGATCCTTCCAGAATAAGGGAGCAAGCGGTGAGCTCCCGATCCTGACCCCCGGAGGCCAGGGGCCTCACCCGCCCCTTCCCACACCGGCTCCGGCCCTGGTCCTGGCCCCACCACTGACTTCTTTGAGCTTCTTTGGAGCTGACTGTTTACAAACCTCTTCAGAGCCAGCCCTCTGCTAGGGGCAGGGGAGTCAGAGACCAGCGGACCCCGCTCTGGCCCCTTGCCATTGTGGTGTAGATGGGGCTCCAGAAGTCCGGAGAAGGCATCAGTGTGTGGATGCTGGAGGAGGAGCCTGGCCGCGTGGAGGGTCTCTGGGAGCCCCGAGGGAGGCTGCAGTCATCCTGGGCCTGGGCGACCCATTGTCAGTGTGCCGGGGGGCTCTGGCCAGGGAACCAGAGGGCAGGGGTCTCCCCGTCCACCATCGGCCTGTTCACCTGGATCCTTCCCAGCGCACATCTTGCTTGTCTGGAAGTTTCTTGGCAGGAATTGGTCTCAGCTACAGGTCGGCTCGCCTCCAGCTGCCCTCAGGGAGCCTGTGCTTTCCGCTTTTATACACCAGCTTCTGAGGCCGCGGCGATGGCCTGAGCACGTGCTCCAAGGGCCGGGAAGGGCAGCTCGGAGCAGAGAGCTCAGAAGACACATTTCAGCGTCGGGAGGGGTGTGCATGTCGGAAGTCAGGGCTTGGCTCTGGAATTACCTACTCTTCCTCCTGCCGCCCCTGTGCGTGGCCTGCCCCGGGGGCCCCGGGGTGGGGGGCGAGCTGGCTGGGCCTGCAGGGCTGTGGCTCAGGGCAGGGCTGTCGTTCTGTGGGCACGGTCAGCGCAATGCTAGGGCCTCAGGCCCTGGAGCTGGGGACATCACAGTCCTCAGCCACCAGCCAGCATCCTAAGCTGTGCTCCAAAGACCCCAGGCATTTGGTGGCAATCCAGCGGCCTCCTGGGGGTAAGGAGCAGGGTGGCCGAGATTTGTTTCTGCAGAATCAGCTTCATTTCCGCCTTTTTAAATTTGCTTTTCCGCTATTTGATGGTTTGCGTGCAAACAGAGTCCTAGTGCTGAGATATGCTGGAAGTCATTTGTCTGCTCAGATGCCCAAGTCACACATGGGGACGCTGAGGCTCAGGAGGCCCGAGGCTCATCTGGGATCACGTCGCAGAAGGGGCAGGAAGCCCGACTCCAGTCTGGGGTCCGTGCCTGAGTCGTGCCCCCGGCCGGGAGTGTCAGGAGGGGTGCGGTCTGAGTACAGGGGCTCCTCTCTGCACCCACAGAAACAGGCAGACAGACCCGCGGGCACACCCCGGCCACCCAGCCCATGACACCAGGCCCCGGCCAGCCAAGGCTGCGGGCTGGGCGTGCATCTGTGATCCGTGGCTTTATGAAACGCCTTCTAATGAAAGTCACACGAGGCAGAGGGAGAGGACGGCCCTCACGCGGGGCTGCGTCTCGGAGAAATGTGCTTGTTAAAGCGTGTAATAAGAGACATAACAGATCCCCAATATTGGGCAAAGCTGTCGTTAAATCCCTTAATGATAGCGCTGCACAGGTCTTCATAAACCCCTTTGGTGTGGGGGGGGGACCCCGGGGGGGGGGGGGGGGGGGGCTTTTCCTGCAGACTGAGGCCTGGGACCCTGACCTCCCCCACACCTCTGCCCCTTCTCCGAGGTGGCCGTGTCAATGCGTCGCTGTCTGGCCGGGCCCCGAGGCTGGGTCCACGCTGGGCCGGCAGATGCCCACCCTGTGGTCCGCTGAGCTGCCCCTGGTCGGCTGCCCTGTTATTGGGCTCCTCCTGGCTCCGGGGCTGTTTGGCGCCCAGGGGGTTGGGGGTGGGGGAGGCAGGAGGCAGGAGGGTTCTCAGCCAGGCTCCTGGCCTGTGGACTGGAAGGCCTGGGGCTTCAGGGTGTGACCTTGACCTCCCCCGGCATTCTTTCCCGTCTGGTGACAGGCCCTAGGAGCCCCGTGAGGAAGAGGAGGAGGGAAGGGGAGGGGAGGAGGGAGAAGTAGGATGAGGGGAGGAGGGAGGGAGAAGGAGGGGGGAGAGGGGGAGGAGGGGGGAGGAGGAGGAGGGAGAGAAGGAGGAGGGGGAGCAGGAGGAGGGAGGAAGGAGGGGGAGGCAGGAGGAGGAGGGGAGAAGGGGGAGAGGGAGGGGGAAGGAGGAGGAGGGTGGGAGGAGGCGGAATGGGAGGAGGGGGAAGGGGAGGAGGGGGAGGAGGAGCGTCTGCCCCAGGCCCCCACCTCCCAGGCACAGCCTTGACCTGAGCGGCACCCTGGGTTTCGCAGGCCTGGCAAATCCTCAGGCCTGAGACCTGGGCGGAGTCACAGGAAGGCCACCGTCTCGCTGCCTGAGCCGAGTCGAGCCCACGAGTCGCGCCAGGAGCCTGAATGGCACCAGCACCCTCCGCCGCGGGCACCAGCAGCACCAGTTTGGGTTGGAATCTGTCACTTGCAATCGATCACAAGGGTCCTAATGAAGGCTCTCCGAGCCTCGGTTTCCCCATCTCCCGGTGGGGCCTTTCCCAGCAGAGACTGCAGCCGGGGGTAGGCCCGACTGGGCCTCAAGCCTTCCTGGGGGTGAAACTCCTGCCCTCTTGACCCTGAACTCCCTGAGGACGGGGCGGGGGGCCGCACAAGGACCGCCACCAAAAGCAGCCTGCCCGGTGAGTCCTCGCATCCCCGGGTGTCTCTGAGCCTTGGTGGTTCAAGGTTTGGGGGACACGGTGTGGTGGCCCGACCTTGGCCTCACCAGAAGGCAGTGTGGCCTCAGCTGAGGGTCGATAGAGATGATGTCTGCCCCTCCCAGCTGCGTGACCGTGAGTCAGTCACTCGACGGCTCCGCGCTCCAGGGCTCGTGTGAAGAGGGAGGTCCCTAAAGGGCGCTCAGTGCCCAACGACCCCCATCCCTCGGGGTCCCAGGCTCGCGGTGCCGTGTGTCCGTCAGGCCGGGCCCCCGTCTCTAGGGCTCCGCCCCCACCTCCCGCCCCTCCCCACGCGGTGCCGATTACGGCTCTGCACCCCACCCCGTCTGTGCCTGCGTGAGGCCGTGCCCCCTGCGCAGACACACAGACACAAACACGCACCTGCTCGTGCACCTGTCTCTGAAGCCCTGTTTTGCACAACCTGGCGGCCGGGGTCTCCAGTGGGGCTGGTTTGGAGGCAGGTCTGAGGGGTAGGAGGTGCCGGTTCGGAGTCAGGCCGGACCCAGAGCACCTGTCTCTCCCGCCACGCATGGGAGACTGAACTCGACTTTGGACGGTCGTGGCCACCGCTGTGCGGCTGGGAAGGGGCTGCCTGGGCTCCCCTCCTTCATGGGGAGGACGTGTCTAGGGCTCCCAGCCGCCAGGAGCCTCCACCTTCCCCTCCTGTGCGCCCCCAGCACTGAGGGGCTGGGGGCCCGGAGAGGAGCACTCACACCCTCATCCCCACGGCCGGATCAGCACCTACTCATCCTTCAGATGCCCAGAAATGAAGGCCTCCCGGGAGGCCCCAAAGACTCAGCACAAAAGCTCACAGGTGGCCGCACAGGAAGGGGGTCTCTCCTGGGACCGGCAGGGGACCTGGACCCACCAGCTGGGTGGGTGGGGTTGGAGTTGTGGGTTCCTGGGCCTCCTGACCTCCTGCCCAGGTGAGCACCGTGCTGTCCACGGCCCCGCAGAGCGGCCCCTCCCAGCAGAGCAGCCAGGGGGCGGGTGGGGACCCTCCTACCCATTTGGGGACTGAGCCCCAGTGAGGGGAAAGTCAGGGCCGGGCTCCCCGCCCCATCCCTCCCCCTGAGGTCTCTTACCTGTAAAGCAAGCATGCAAATTTAGCCGGGCGGCGATCGACCCTGGGGAGCAGGTGGGTTCGCAGGGGCTGGCTGGGAGCTCGGCCGTGCGGGTCCTCGTTAGGGGACACGCTCACGGGAAGCAGGCCTGCATGGCCACCGTTCCCAGAGGCTCTCGGCGTCCGTGGCCACCGTCCTTCCAGAAAGGCCGACCTGAGCCAGGCCTCACCGCCACACCCCAGAGGTCCTCCCCACAGGAAGCGGGGATGAGGCCACTCTGCTGGCCGGGAGGAGGACGGTGGGAGGGTGACCCTCGCTTGCCTGGGGCTCGGCTGACACAGCACACGCAGCCTTCGCCGACCTACCCCCCCCCCCCCCCCCGGCCGGCGGTTACCAGGCCGACGGGGGACCCAGGTGTGGGGAGTTTAATCGTCCGTGACCTGCCGTCCACTCTTGCTTGGGTGTTAATGGCCAAATGTTTTGCAAGTAAATTACCAGAAAGAGCTATTCCTGAGGGGGGCAGAGGCTTGTGGGAAAGTGTCAGGACACCGGACAAATGGCCAGCGTCAACCTCCGAGCCGCCACCCCCTCCCTGGCAGAGGGCCGGACAGGCCCGCTTCGGAGGCTTGGTGGGGAGTGGGGGCAGGAGGACGGGGAATCCCTCCAGACGGGTGCCCCCGGGAGCCACTCCCGCGAGGGGGGGAGCGCCGCGAGCTGCGTGGGGGGCCACAGAGCTCTCTGGAATGCCTCCCCCCTCGACGGCATCCTCCAGAGGTGGTCCAGGGACAGGCGGGACCGTGGCGGGTGTGGGGGGAGGGTCTCCCAGGCTGTCGTCGGAGGCGGTGGACAGAGCTCCGTCCCCAGCCGGAGAGGAAGACTCGACGGGACCCAGGCTTTCAGCAGTGGTGGCAACAACACGTGGCCCCGCCCAGGTGGAGGCACGGAGCCCAACGCCAAGCTGGCACGGCGGGCACCGTTCACCGGATCCCGGGCACCGTGACCCTGGGCGTGGCCGGTGGGCGGACCGTGTGAGCTGCCGCCGGAATACGGGGCAAAAAGCAGTGACCGGGCCCCGGGGCCAGGAGGCAGTTGGCACAGGGAGGCCCCCTCCCCAGTCGTCCAGCCCGCCTCCACCACGTGAGACCCCGGCTGCCCTGAGACCGCACTCGGCTGACCTGTAACCTGACCCCAGGCGCGGGGAGGGACCGGCCACCGAGGGAGCCCAGACGGGCTCCGCAGACGAGGCTTCCCGGTTCCCGAGCAGCGTCAGGCCCTCGGCGGCACTAAGCCTCGTGCCATCAGGGACACGGGGAAGGCGCCCCCCTGGAGGTTTTGCGAGCAGCAAATGAGATACGATGAAAACACCTCCCACGGCGTCCTCGCGGGACGGTGGCCGAGCGCAGAGCCAGGTGTGGGTCCCCGAGGGCCTCGGTGCTCAAGCTCCCACACCGCCGGCAGGAAGACCCTGGAGGCCCGGGCGGCGGGCACTGCCTCTGTGCCCAGGTGGGGGGCTGCTGCTGCAGCCCGAGGGGCGCCCAGACTCCCCAGGCATCGCCCGGCCTCCTGGAGGGGGACACGGCCCTCTGTGCGCCCACAGGGGGGCCTGGAGCGGCGGGGGGGGGGGGGGACAGACCCGCAGGTGAGCGATTCTCCAAGCAGACCCTTCGCCCTCCTCGATGGGCTCGGCCTGCGTCTTTAAGACGCTAATGGGCCCTCTTAAAAACAAATGACAGTTTGCTTGCTCACTAACAGGTTCTCGTCTGACATCAGCAGGGAATCAAAGATATTTTATTATTTGGAAACCCCATATAGGGAAGGCAGCCTTGGAAGTCTGTCATTGCTCCAAAACCCACACCTCCCCTGGGAGTTAATTATTTTCTTAAAATGCAACTTGTACTGTTAGTTTAAAACATTCCAACTGTGTTCACACTCTTTAAATCTTCAGTAAACCTTAGAGTTTAAATCACTTGCAGATAAGAGTAATTCTATTAGGGAGGGAGGGGCCCACACTCAGAGGAGGTGAAATCAAATGGAATAAAAAGGCCATTGACTGTTGGCTCCTTGGCCACCTCCCGCCCTCGCCCCTCGGGACGGGCCGGCCACGGACGGCGGCCCACCGGGTCCCAGTGGCCGGGTGACCTGGCTGGAGCTGCCCACCGTCCCTCTCAGGGGCCCAGACACAGGCCCTGGAGGCTGGATCAAGGCCAGCTGCGTAACGGCCGAGGTGGGGTGGCTTTTGGGGTGACCTGGGACCCTTGCTTTCGTGGGGAGGAGCCTCTGGGTCTTGGGGCAGGAAGGCTCCGGGGGCCTGGACGCCCACCTGAACCGGCACGGGGCCAGCGATCTGGGCAGCCCTGGGGGTGGTTGACGGTTTTCCTGTCCTCGCCAACTAGCCCCTCAGGTCAGACGCTGCCTCCACTGCCCCCAGGGCTGAACACAGCCCGTTTGGATTAGCACCTGGGGGCTGGCCTTCCCTCCGAAGGGCCTCCCTTAAGTCAGAAAAATCAGATAACAAACCCAGAAGCTCTGGAAGGCTCTCGGTTTCCGAGGGGCTCCGAGCTCCCCTGAGCTCTCAAAGCCCGCCCCTGGCCCCCACCCCTCTTAGGCCCCACCGCCAGCTCAGGGGCCATCTGTTTCTCTCAGGGCGACACCTATCATCCAGGTCCTGTGCTTGTCTTCTAGTCCTGAGACACTCCTGTCCCCTCCAGCTTTGTTCACGTTGGCTGCCCAGCCTGGAACGTACTGCCTGGCTGGATGGCACGCATCGCAGGGACGGCCAAGCCGCCAACCCCTCCTGGCCTCCTTTTTGCCCTGCCAGACCCCTCGCCAGGTGCATGCGGGGACCTCTTCCTCCCGAGCCCTCTGGGTCTGTCCGTCCGGGCGCTGGCCACGCTGGGCCAGGACTGCCAGGCCACTGGTCATCTCCCCGCTGGACTGAGACCCTACCCCCAGGCAGGACCAAGCCAAGTTGACCTCGGGTCCCCAGGCCCTACCCAGGAGAGGCCCCGGGTAGGGGAGAAGAGGGGAGGGTGGGTTGGGTGGGGGAGACTCGTGGCCTCCCACACGTACTCGACTCCCCTTGTGCTGGACAAGGAAGGCAGGGGGCCAGCCTAGGAGTGGACAGAGTGATCGGCAGGCTCCCGGGGTGTGGAAGGGGCTGGGAGCTTCTGGAGGTGGAACCCCCCCCCCCCACAATTGCATA